TTCTTGTCTCGAGGGGTTGATCCCCGTCTCGGCTTGTTGTCTTGGTACTTTGTTCTTCATACATTTGCTGGTGTGCAGTGTAGCGTGTTTTAAGCCCTAATCGGTTTCCAGGGTGGGAGTACGTCTGGGCGTAGTTTCGGATTCGCTAACTGGCAGTCGGCTGCCGAGTAGTGGTGCTCAAGTACGGTCTCAGACTTAAATCTTGGCTGACTACTAGACTCGATACCATTCTGGAACGACCATGCAAAGCTTCTTTCTTGGCCGCGATAACGCTATCTCTGATATGTGCATGGCTCTTGACGCAAGCTTCCAGATGGCAAAAAGCAAATTAAATGCACTAGGGGAGCCAAGTTAGTTATAAGGTCGCGGGGGGTGTCGCTGACCACGCAAAGCCGAGAACCCGCTACGAAGTAGCCAACCCGGTGGATTCCGCCTTACCGACCCAGCTTTCGACATGGCTTTAGCATGGACTGAAACAAGGAGATATCAAAACCTCGTTTCTTAGTGCGGAATCGGTGCCTCGAGCAAAGCTAGCACCCAGCTAAGTTTCCCGGACTGATTTGTTGCAACGCGCTTAAGCTTAACGAAACACTGCAATCAGCCAACTAAAGCGACATCGATATACTAACCGTAGTGACATTGCACAGTGAGTGTCGATAAATATCCCCTTCCAATTTCTTCGAGAGCAAGACGACTAGGAAACGATACGCAGGAACCCGAGGGAGAAGCAAGAACAGTAGCAAATAGCAACTCTATACTTTACATGGTTGATTGCGATTAACGATAAGGACAAGAACGAAGAAAATTTATCCCATATTGGGAAGATTGAGAAGTGCATTAACACCGTCAGGAAGGTAAGATACATTTCGGTTTTTGCCCAATTGATAAGCAATATCCTCGGCCGCCTCAATGCGTCGCAGCTCAATTAAGCCATCTCCAGAGGAGCCAAAAGACTTGGCCAGCATCTTCGCTGCCTCTGAATCCCCTTCAGCACTTATCACTGCCGCCATCTTCTGTTGCTCTGCCTTTTCAACAAGGAAACGTGCACGTTCTGCCTCCTGTTGCGCTACCTGTTTTGCCTCAACAGCTGCCGAAAACTCGGACGTGAAGGATATTTGCGTCTAAAGGGTAGAAGGTATATAACTGCTAATTCGACATTACATGCTTAGTAACTAGGGCAGAAAACAAACACTTGCAACAATTAACAAATAGACTTAGATTGACGTACAAGAGCAATATCGTCGAGAAGAATGCCGAAAGAAGCAGCGCGCTCCGTTAAGGAATCGTTTACACGCTGACTAACAAGTTCACGTTGGGTGATGAGTTCACTGGCGTCGAACTGAGCAACAACAGCCTTGAGGACCTCGGTGGTAATTGAAGGAAGAACACGTTCTTCATAATCGAAGCCAAGGTTGGAGTAAATTTTAGGCAATAAATCAGCCTGCGGCCTGTACAGTATGCGGAGAGTGATGTTGACCGTTTGAAGGTCTGTAAAGAGAATAAGCCAAACACATCCCATTATAGCAAACGTACTGCTACCATAGTAATGCACAGCACATACCCTTTGATCCAGTCATGACAGGAACGTTGCGAGGCTTGGACCGGATATCATAAATTATAGGCTTTTGTACCCAAGGAATAATAAAGTGAGTGCCCTCTCCCACAACAGTTTGACGAACGCCTTTAAAGCGGTCAAATATAACAGCACGCTGTCCGCCGTCAACTAATTCCACAATATCTTATACGAAATTTTTTATTACCATTATAAAGAACAAGAGGTAAGATACTACCGGCGGCAACCAAGCCAACTCCAAGCTTTCCTATTCGAGTGAACCATTGATTCAAGCTCGCAGCCATGGTTCACTTACTAGAAAAGATCCAGATGTCCACGAACACGAACAATAGCAACGACCAATGACAGCTTCCCCAGGTTATGCCCAAGAGCACATGCATTCTACTACCAGCAAAACAAGTTTTAAAACTAATTTTGAACTTTAGCTAAATCTCTAGTGCTTTAAGCTCATACAATGTACAGTTTTTATGTTCCCATTTATTGACGTCGTTAGTGTGACTGTCAAAAGCAAAGGATCAAGCAACTATTAAGTAATTTTATGCAGATTTAGAGTTTAAAGAAAAACCAGTTCACACATGGCGTGAGCAATTCGACATTTTAAGCTATATATATCGTAATGTATCAGTCACAAAAGATGGTACGAGAAGTACATTAAGGATTGGGATGTAACCCCACCAGCATTGTAATGCATGGTTTGTGCGAAGACCTGGCATTTGGCGGTCACTTTAGAATTTGTCTTCTTCTCCCACTCACGTGGGCTGGCCTTCAGGCCACGCTCAGGCCCCGTCTGTCTTGCCGTCTTCGGAATACGTGTACCTAGCTGAACTTACTGACTTATTATTACTGGCTAGGAAGACTTGGGACGCATAAAGTGTTTTTAAATGACTGCTTCAGGCGATATGGGGTCTCCGACTCTGGCTTGTTCTAAGTTAATCGTTTTTAAGAGCGGCATATTGTCTGGGAAAATTTAC